CTTAAAGAAAGAAACAAGTCAACGCGAGATATGTTTTAAAGTCATCCTCTAGAAAGTGACATAGAATTTATACATGTAATTCAGTCATATATTTCTTACCTGACAACTTGTAAACAACGGTTTTCTCGTTAGAAAAATAAAATAAAAGGATTCTTAAACATGCAGCTGACAGAATGTTAAATCCCACAAATATGATAATAAAACGTTGGAAAACAATGAAAGAAAAACGAAAATAAACCCCCACAGGCATGAATAAAATAATAAGAAACAAAACACCAAAATTTGCAAAGATGCTTAATGACGTTTTTTACATTATCAAGCCCAATCGTTTTCACATGGCGCCCACGATCAAGTCAAATCTCCTCTCTGATTATATTATTGTACCCTGGTATTCAATATCCGAAGTTCAAACGGACAAGAGCTAAACTAACCAAAAAAAAAATGGGTCTTTGTTTTTGTGGAAATGCTGTTTCATGGAAACACAAGACTAGTATATTTCCTGTTATTCCTAATAGTTGAAAAGTAACGTTGGACAAATTGACGAGACCAATATTTCACTAGCTTATGCAATTAATAAATATATCTGCTAATACCTCTTGTTTGTGTTGTAGCGTCGATGCAGGGAAATTGGTGGATATATCGTAAAAGTCGACAATTCTTCCGAAAACACGTGGGTTGCTGATAACAAACCAAAAAGTATATGAATTACTTTAATTTTCCTAAGCAGTTGTATTGTTGTAGCTAACGTTTAACTTTGAAATTTATATTTCACTAAAATATGACAAAAGTAATGATAAACGTAGTTAGAGTAAATGAAATTCTCCATTGAAGTATATGAAGCGTAACTCTTCCATTATATTTATATAATATTTTTAAAACATCAATAGACACTGTCCATGTTTTTATCGTAGAGAACGTTGGTTACTGGATCGGATTGACAGACCTGAAGGAAGGAGATTGGCGTTGGACTTTTGATCAGTCACGGCCGACGTACAAGTCATGGCAAAGTGGGACTGGTGCAAGGGGAACTTCATACAATTGTGCCGTTTACCATTATGGATCAAGTGTCAGAAATTGGTTTGATTATGTTTGCTTGTCAAATCTTTACTACATCTGCGAAAGTAACTTTTGTAAGTTCACATACTGTACCACTTACTACACGTTTTATATAGTGAATACTTATTTTAAAAAAAGAAAATTCAAAAGATATATAAAACATGTTGAACACAAATAGTGAAATAACCAAGAGAAAAAAAATACGTTAAGGCATTCAAGGTTATAAACACTATAGAAAACTAAAGACTAAGGTACAAAAATTCAATCTAAATGAAAACCTGCTGGAAAGTGCACACACCTGCTCCGGAATGGTGATCAATTATAATTCTGGAGATAACATTATGGCGTTTCTCATGACAATAAGATTTCTAAGATAAGTCGTATTCAGTTCCGAAAAAAATAAGGTAGAATGGGACGGGATTGGACTAACAACGCATGAACATATTTTATAGTCTCTTATAACACAAATATTACTGCACAGTCAACCAAACCATGATAGTGCCAATAAAACTATTGCTTACTTTTACTTTTTCATAAACAAATCCCTTGTTCAAGAACCTCCAATTGTATTTGAACAGGAAAGTGAGAAAAAAAAGTGTAAGGCTTAGTCCACACATATGTGTTGCAGTGATATCAATACATCAAAATGACAAGATCATACGGGAAAATGAAGTTCCTTTTTTTTATGGCATTATGGCGTAAATCAGAATGATATGTTATTCGGTAAGGTTGATAGCATACATAATTCATCATTATTATACTCTTAAGTCATATTAATTTTGATCTGCATGTTGTTATGAAGAGGTATTATTATAAGATGACATGATTATGCTTTTGTTTTTACTTTTTTAAGGTTTTTAAAGATTAGAAAGCAGAGATGAAGAAGAATAATGTTTGATTAAAATTTGCTTATGAAATACTGAGCTAGATATTTTTTTGGTAGTCGTATTGTTAGTTAGCTGTTGCTTTTGTATCATGATAAATTCCTTGGATGTTCGCAATCGGTAATCATTAATATTTAAAAAAAAACACACAGCAGGCCTGAAATATCCACACAGAAAACTAATGATTGAGTAACAAGAACCTCGCCTCAAACTGTAGTGAAGATATGGTATGGTTGCCAATGAGACAACTCTCCACAAGAGACCAAATGTATTGTTGAATGCCGTACGGTGACCTATAGTTGGTAATTTATGTGTCATTTGGTCTCTTGTGGAGAGTTGTCTCATTGGCAATAATACCACATCGTCTTTTTTATATGACCTCTAGTGCTCCGATATATATCCAATAGACCACTTTCGAGTTATGTCCTTCATCGGGAAAGTTCGTCAATTGTGTACGCCTTTGTGATGTCATTTACCAAACAGAGGGGATTGCATGTATCCCTGCTCTATTAAAGTTAATCAACCGTCTTTGTGTTCGTCATTATGCAGGATTAACTAGAAATGATATTTTTTATGTAAGTACTCAATCACAATTCCCAAATGACAACAGTGCTGATCATCAATTATAAGAATTTAATTTGCCGTGCAATATAGCATTATCATTTTCAACCAATCGCTCAACATAGGGACGCCCCTAAACACCTGAATGATGTTCACTAACACCAAAGTTTTTGACGGAAATGCAACAAACTCGAAAGTCTATTATAGCTACATTAGACTTGGTTGTGGCAAAAAAGAACGGTATAATTATACTCATGGTCATCTGTGATACAAAAACGGTCAAACAATAATTTGTAATGTTATACTATCAATCAAATGACTTGAATATTACCATTGAGAACCCTGGGGTCAACTATTTCCGTGTGAACAGAACCCCCTTAATGAAAGAAATGATGAAAGAGAAACATGGAAAACTATTCTACCTGATATATATGTTCTGTATATTCATTTAAAAATGCATGAAATAGGAAAACTGAAATTGAAGCCATTTGAGGGGGTTCGGCGTGCTCTTAAACATGGAAAACTGACAAAACTTTCTATTGTAAGTCAGGAAGGCCTAAAAAAAGGCCAATCACGTTATCCCAACCCCGAATATGTTGTTCCCTTCCATCCAAATTTACATATTGTACAATAATGCCACATATATTGCCATGTGCATTTAGATTTTGATGGTGAGGGACAATTCAAAACTATACGAGAAAGAAATTTCCCAACGTGAATTTTTCTATTGTAAATAACAAAATAGAAGCCTAGGTTCAGGACTATAATCCGAGGCCTCCTGGTTGGCGGTTCTAAACGTGTTTCCTAATATTTTACCTCAAATTGACAACAAAACATATTGTACGGATGAATTGGATTTTAACAAAATTTCTTTCGTTAGGTTTACGGATATGGAAAGGATTGAGAACCATACACATCCTATTAATAGCTCTCCCAAGATTACATATTCAGGGTCTATATAATACATGATTTACGGTTTATTTAAATAGAAAAACTACAGTGTATAAATGAATGCTACTTATGAGAGCACACACACACACACACACACACACACACACACACACATAGGTGTTTACGATCAATATTTATGTTATATTAAAGTGCTTAAGTAATTTATCATCAGATACTCAGGTACATAAGGACATGAAAATATCAACAACATTTATAAGTAATATATAAATCAATACGGTTTTAAAGAGTCAATATGCACATTTAGTAAAATAAATGATATAATATTGGAATTAAAAGGAAAAAAGTGCAAATAACAAATATATTTTTTATACAATACGATGAGTGTCACTGATAAATTTTTGAACAAATAAAAACGGACATGCGGGTTGTCGCCAACAGGTTGATCACAGTTTTAACAAATAGTAACAGCTGATAAAGATTATACGGATGAACATTCATAACGTATAATTCCTTGAATACGACATTTAAATCTTAACACATTGATATGTCATTGTTTCATATGTGGACTTTGTGCAGACTGTGGTGGCGACGCAAATCTTAAAATTTGGGCAGAATGTCTAAGCCTGATAGACAGACACTTGAGCAAATGTCAGAGGAAATTATTGTGAATGGTTCAGACTTTCTGGTAATAAGGACATTGTAATGATAAATTGTGGACAATCTCTTTTCTAGTTTTTCATCGAAGGAAAGATAATAGTTTGTCTTTACGCTTTTTTGATAACATATTGTCATCTTTTATTTTGTTAGTATAACTATAGTAGAAGTTAAATATGTTATTATGCTATGGTCAGTTACATCATATACGTCAATAAAATAAAATAATTCTCTTTTAAAATGAGGCATTGAAAACCCGAGGTTTAAAGATGATCCTTATCGTTCTATTATTAGAGGAACCTCATCGCCGTTAAAGGTGTAATGGTCGCCATCTCGAATCAAACGACCGATACAATGTGTCTGTGTATCAACTCAGCAGCGACATGTTTTTGCGGTCTAAGATCTTTATATATCAGAATTTGTACCGACAGTGTCCTATTCCTGACTGAAACACAGTTTGAACACACCCGGTCTCTTGCGATTCCCTCAATTGTTGTTTTGGTTTTTTTTTCTTAATCGATTCAAGAGATATGAAATAAATAATCTGCTGTTTTCTTAACACGATTTATGTGCTTTTACTTACGAACTATATGATTCACATATGGAAGGTTACAAAAGGAAACATCACGAGGCATTTACTCTATCATCAAAAATCAATACAACAGGAAAAACGCATGCATTATAAAAAGATATATCACAAACAAATTAAACGAACAAAACAAATTAAAAAATGTTTAACTATACAAAAAATGACATATGTCATGATATGAAATTATAATTAAATATCTTCAGTAAAGACTAACGATTGCATCTAGTTAAGTGGGAATTAAAATTACACTTTAAGCACTTCCTAAGACAATTATAGATTTTTAAGGACTTCCGAAGTAAACGATAAAATTATATTTTAAGTTTTCAAAGAAAAAAATATTTTGAAATTTTAAGAACTCTTCAAGTACAATATAAAAGCACATGTTGTGAACTTCCTTTAACTGATCTTTGCTCATCATAACGTCAGTGAAGTGACAGGAATCCGTTGTGAAAGAGAACTGGAGAAAATCAATATTTTCTAATTTATATCAGGTGAGTTCTTGTTTATCATATTGATTGACCTTTCTTTTACGTAAAAGTTCAGGACATAATATACAATATCCCAGTACTTGTTCATATATAAGTATAGACAGAGGGGGAACAATAGTTAAAAATTGCGCAGAATCTCGAAGCCTGATAGACATACTCTCTGAACCGGTAACAGATAAATTAATTATGTTTAACTTTAATCTTCATAATATTAAAGCCATTTAGAGACTAATGTAATGATGGCTTTGACTTTTGTTAAAACGATAAAATGTTACTGTGAACTACAAAATAAATTCCAATTTAAAGAATTAAAATAAGACAATCAATGTTATCTCATATATTTTTACACTGTCTCCTCATAATAAAATTAGTCTAACGTTCTAAATTTAATGGTAGCAACATAAGTAAAGAAAACATATGTCTGGTCTTGTTTGGGGAAAATAAAAAACAACGAAACTTGATAATTTTCTTATATATTTGTATTTCATGTTTTTTGTATTTTTCTTTTGTATTTGTAGCATCCAGTAATGCATAAAATATTTGTAGTCTTCCTTATCTGCACAGCCAAGTATGCATTAACTATACGTATTCAAAATTTACCATGTTTTACTGATGAATCACAAAAGGATTTGGAAGATGCAAGAAAAGAACTTACAACACTAGACAATAACCTTGAAAAGACTGTGGAGATACTGGCGGATGAGTTTCAGAAAACTCTCAATATCATGAAAAACCAATTGGTGGCAATGAAAACCAACGTTAGTAAAATAGTTAAAAATGTGGAAAGTGACCTTATTGTTATCAAGAAAGACTTGAAAGGTAAGTTGTAGGTAAAGACATTTTAAACAACACACACATATATATTAAACACCAGCACCACTTTCACATGTCATTATAATGATTGGTTTTAACTGATATGATATCAGTTGAAGCAACATAAAGAGTACCTCTGTTAAACTAACTTACGCCATGGTTTTCAAAACATGTGATATACGTGTTTATATGTATATTTAAAAAGATGAGACTTAATCAATCTGACAGTCCGATGACCCGAGGAAATGATTGAGGTGTATAAATGTAAGGTACTGTTTTTTTTCATTTACATATTGGTAACACCATGGATATACCATCGGCTTTCTCCTTTAAGGGAACGACCATTTCCCTTCAAAGGGGGTTATGGTTTTTTCCTAAAAAAATATTCTGATCCCCAATTTGATAAAAAAAGATATTGTGGTCATGCATATGACAAAAAAAATATTCTGAATCCAGATTTTCTATATAAAAAAATTATTTGATTGATAGCGTCCAAAAACTAAAAAAAAATTCTGACTCAGACAAAAAACCATACCCCCCCTCCCCCCAGAAGTTAAATGGTTGCCCCCTAAAAACACATGAACTTTTTTTATACATAACATCTTCGGGTAGATTTCACTGTATAACGAAGAAGAAACTTCGACGAAAATCTTTATTAAGATCATTTAAGGAGTTTGTTGTGTGCTTTCGAAAACAATGCACATTAAATGTCAATGTGAAGTGCCAAAATGTACACGACAATTATAAAGTAATCTCAAGTTTTATTTGCGGTTTATACATTATCTGGCTTATATATTACATATACATATGTAGAAGGTCAGTGGACGAAGTATCAAGGCCATTGTTATTACTTTTCTCCAAAGGGTGCCCCCTGGTATGAAGCCGAGGTAAATATTGATAATTAAGGTTTTAAACATATTTGGGTGGTATGATGAATTAACATAAGCCGTTTACCGAACGTTAATAGTTACAACTGCAATAATTCAATTTCTTATTTATAATACTAAAATGCATTATTATTTTTTTTCCGTTGTCGCTTCCTAACTTATATAAGTAGACAATGTATGCATAGGTAAATGGTAATGTAAATGCAACACCAATAAACGAAAAAGGCATGATGTAATTATTGAATCGAAAACTTCTAATTATTTGCTTCACAACATAGGAGAGAGGACTCATCATAACCTTAACTTGATATTACATTTTCTTGATTTCAAACTTGTTGCAGATCTTTGAATTTCCTTATGAAAATGTACCTCCGCATGAGATGAAATGTATTTATGTTAAAATAAATTCTGACAACCCTCCGCCTCCATCCCACATACTATCCAATATTCAATTCTTGCAAAAATGACTATGAAAGCATTACATTAGACTAAAATTATTTGATAAAAATATCATATATTAAATGCTCTATAACATTAAGACAATGACTTGTTTCAATGAACTTTGTAATTGTATGATAACTAAAAAAATATTAACAATACAAAATAAGAACGTAATTAGTACCTGGGATACTATGAAAGTTCAATTGACAGACGTATTATACCATATCTTACAGCGACTTTGCAGGGATTTTGGTGGATATCTTGTAAAGATTGATAACTCAACTGAGAATGAATGGTTACATTCAAATAGACCAAATAGTAAGTCTTTTATCGGCCATAACTCACTTCCTTGTCCTTAACAAATCGAAATTTCAGACATTTCTATTGTCGATCTTTTAAATTGCAAATTTTAGTTGATTAAAAATAGACCTCATTCGTACACAAGTCTTTAATATTTAAACTCTATTTCTATGTCTGCACAATATGTCAGCGAAATGGTGCTTTGAATGTAATACGAATGAATAAATTAAATGTAGCATATTCATCTATGAGACAACAACCCAATGATACAACAACCAAATCACATCTAGGGCTCAACATGTGGTTTTCAACAATCCGCAAGTATCTAAACAATATATCATAATCTCGTTGTATATATTTACTTTCATTTAAATCACCCGATGTAATAATCAAAATGACAACGTTTCATTTTTTTTAAATCTATTTAAAAAACGGTCTTTTATTTGTTTTTTAGAAGGTAGCGGATACTGGATAGGTCTAACGGACTTAATTGAGGGTGAATGGCGATGGAGTGTAGACCAGTCACTTGCTACCTTTAAAACTTGGTATAGTGGTTATGGTTCCAAGGGACATGCTTCTAATTGCGTTTCTTTCGATGGCAGCACAAGTACATGGTTTGACACTAGCTGCAAAACCGGCTATCGCTATATCTGTGAGAGAAACTTTTGTAAGTACTTCAACATTTATCCATATTTTGTTTCCTTCTTTGATTTTTTTATAATTTCTGTACTATTTTAATCATCCATTCATTTTAATGCAAGAAACGGGATATAAATTTTACAATTTTCAAAAGGATAGCTTGACACAATATAGCATCATAAAATAGTCTGTCAAAGCTAACATATTTCAATTTTGTTCAAATGATACAATGCTACTGTGAACTACAAAATGAATTCCAAGAAGACCTGGAAGATACAATGATTGTTGCCTGTGATAGTTCACAATTACTTCCACAAAAACCTCAGTATAATTAACTTTATGATTACTGTCCATATTGTGTAGCAATGAAATACAAACATTGAAAATAAGTAAGATTTATTTCCGTTAAGGTTTCTCCACTTTCCTATGAAATAAACAATTCTCTGATTTCGTTCTGGTAATTTGAAAAAAATTTACACCTTTAAAATTTAATTTTGGTCTGAATATTATTATTTTCATAAGTTCCGTCATTTGGTTTTCTGTATGCTTGATACATGATATCGTATTGATTATAAGCTTTCCATATAAAATCCCTTGGGCTTGGTGTTTTTTCATAACGGAGGCAATTCCCAAAAAGAATCCACAAACTAATTTGTATACGCCTGTCTTAGATTGAACGTTATATGGAACATCTTATACATGTAGTCCGTCCGTCCATTTATTATGCCGTCCGTATGTCAAAATTCCCGACGGTAACTTAAATGTGCTTTAACTAATTCTCATGAAATTTTAACACGTAAACAAATTTTTGTTAATAATGAGTTAAGGGACTTTACTGATGGAAAATTGGATATTGTTTTACATATTGTGCACTAACTCCAGTATGCTATAATATATTTTCACTTATAACATGAAATGCATGCACATACAGTTGTTGTAAGTTATGTTTGCGTTCCGTGACATGCACTATGGTTTATCATTTGTAAGAAAAAATGATGTTCTTTCGATAAATTTTATGTTGCCAAATTATCGTTTATTGGTTGATATATATATATATATACATATATTTCATATTAAATTCTCTTCAGGTTATTGAACAGATTTGGTCTGATGTCCGAGGACAGATGTATAAGTTGCTGCTCAAAGATGAATTGTTTAATTTGAACTTCAAATAAAGAATATAGATTAAAGATGCGTTTGCTGTTATTATCGTGGACGAGTGTAGAAAATACCATATAGTAAAACCTAAGCATAATTTTTGTAAATTTGCCCATCATTTTCGATAACATATTCAATTTAACTTCCTCTGGAATAAGCGTGTCTGTCGTTTGCGTGTGTTAGCTTTAAATCCATTTTGATTTCGAAATAACATTGTAGGGGTCAAATCATCAATCCGTATGGATTTTCAATAAGATTTTTTTAGTATAACAACTTACATCGAAAAAGTTAAATTTCATACCGTTCCAGCTGTTTGGTCTTATAAGGAGGCACATCTTCTCCGTCAAGACAACGAAGAGATTTCTTACCTGTTGATCTATTAAATATCTTAACTATTGTATATTGTATATATTCTAGCAAGTATGGCCTTTAGAGGCATTATGTGAGCTATTTCTGGCATTTGAAATCCATCGCGAACACGCGTTGGTACTATTTGGGTGAATATAGTATATGTGGGAGTAAGGCTAATGTTACACCAACACAACATACATCAAGGGGTAAATATTTGATGAACAGCGATAGACCAGTGTTTTATTTTCTAAATAGGTCAAGCTCTAGATTGCAGCGAGTGTAAAATTGATTGAAATGTACAATCAACCACAAACGACACCAAATTCCAAAATATGAATTACAGCACATTAAGATATAACAAGACACCACAAACAATGTTCCTGGCACACACGGCAACGCAGTCCCGTTTTATCTATATCAGTGTAATAAAATAGCGTAATACAATAACTTGAAATGAAATTAGTACAGAAAAAAACACTTCTATGATACTAAAATTAATTTGGCCACGATCACGCTATACTGAAAACATGTACACTTTAGATTTATATCTTACAGATATCAGTCCTCTCTGTTGTCCAAAATCATCAATATTTTTATTCCCGTTTTTTTATTTCTTATAAATTAGTCCTCGCATCTAAAACTTCAGGGTTGCATCCGGAATGTTTGGTTATTTACAATAGTAGAAGTAACTACAATCAACGCGTTTAGCACACTAAACCTAACCTAAACAGTCTATACAAAAAACAATAAAATGAAATATTCATGAATGTTTTCTCCATCTCATTCACAATCCAGAAAAAAAACAACACAAGTAAAAAAATATATGTCAAAGCGATTAAAATGTATGGAAATTAAAAATCACACAATTACTAAGATATATTGCCGAATCTATTATATAATTTACCGAAACTATGTGAAATGGACTTCAATTTGTCAATTGCTTCATTCAGGGGTTCATGTTCTCATTCCCAATTCTTTGTGTTTTTGAATTCATGAATAGGATTGGCTAAGTAAGAAGATATGTGTGAAAACGGGTAACCTTCCGCCCAAACAATGAGTTGTGTAACCCAAACCTTTCGTTTTTTTTTATCACTGAAGTGAAGCAAAATATATAAAATCATAATTATCAATGGAAGTACAAACTCATAAAATCACTAAGATCTGTTTGCTCAATTTTATAATAAAGGGTCTTTAAATTCGCTAAAACGATAAAAGTTGCAGTCATCCCTTTGAAAGCAACCCCAATTGTGTACTCTCTTTTTTATGAATTGCGATATTACCCAATTGGATTTATCTTGTAACGAGTAACAAGACGAATTCCACTAGTGGAGCTAAAACTAGCACCTTAGTTGAACTCCGATTGCTCAATATTTAGTTTTCTGTGTAGTGTTTTCTTGTTGTTTTTTGTTTTCTGTTTTTGGAAATTTGTGTTGTCTGTTTTATTGGCCCTTTTTTTATTTCATATTACCCCTTGGCATCTAAAAACACTTTTCAAATTCATAAAAAAAAGCAATCGCTAAAAAAATGTTTGTCATCTTGTGTTTGAGGAAAAAATATTAACAATGTCGTAAGCAATACATATTAAAAGTTAATTTAAAGACATAACCTAAAATATTTTAATAGCATTGATTATTGAACTTTGATACATGGAATACTTCTTGTCAAATATATATTTTCTAATATAAGCGTATTACAGGTATATGCTGGGGTCACACTTATTAATTGTCTTATGAAACGGCATATCGTGCTTGAATCGAGTGCGAGGGACCATGGATTTGATCTCCGGTCTGATCAAACCAAACTACTTTAAAGTTTTGTTTTGCTGTTTCTCTTCTATGCACACGGCATTTAGGAGTAATAACAAGACTGATCAGATCGGATTCAAATAATTTCTCCTAGTAGTTTGACATGTCTGTGTATGGAGTATTACATTGTCAACTAGCAACATTAAAACCCTGCAGCCTGTTGGTTTGGTACAAAGCAGAGTAAATATTCATGTCGCAATAATATCGACCACTGATAAGCCTATAATATTTACCACTTCATATAAAACACCAACCCATCATTATCATTTCTATTTAAAACATAGTGCATTAAAGGAAATATGTTTCATCACACGGAGACGATAAAACATTGCTCTTATTTATCATAAAACATGCGACTTCAGTTTTTCATATATGTATACAATACGCTGTCCTTTCATTTCATTTCTGATCATCAGACTTTATTTACATCTTCAATGCTAAAATTTACATCTTCAGAAAAACAGTTTACATCTACAATGGTGATGTTAACATATTCAGTGCTAGACTTTCTCGTTTCAACGTTCATGCAGCGCTAGACTTTGAAAATGTAACTCTATATCTGTATGAGACTAACAGGTCCCCATATATTGGCATACTGTTTTAACTAAATTAAGTGAAAAATACCATAATTAAAAATCAGAGTTATTACATAATGTGGTAATTTTATAACACCTGTTTTGTGTTTGTTATTCATTGGTGTTACTAGACAACAGTTTTTGACACTTATCCTCCTTAAAATTATAAAATAATACATTTTAAATTTCTTAAGAATCACCTTATCATATTTCTTTTTAGTTTGTTAAGTAACTACATATTTTTGTAGATATTTATGGTCATTTTTTTAATTAGAAAGGATTTTTCTCTGTCCAAGATTCGTTATGTGTTGAAATTTGAAAGATCCAGTATATTCAGTATTAATTGCCTTATATGGGAAATTTGATGCACTAACTTATGCTAATATTTCATCCGGTGTTACACAAATTCTAGATTGCATTGTATTAACTCTGCTTTAAAAAATAATTACATGTACTCAGTCCAATATTTCATAAATGAACAGTTAAAACCATTTTTTAAGATTACATTTTTGTTTGCCAACAAAATTGCAAATAAGCTGTTCTTGAAGACTTTAAAATGGTAAATTTGGCTAAATTCCAAGATTAGATCATTTCAAAAACTGCTTATGCATAGTGCTTTTTTTGTTTTTGTCTTTTTTAAATTGATGTTTAAAACATAGATTTTATTATTTTTATATGTTTGTTAAAAATATAAAGATTCTTCTTTCAACAAAATATAATTTTTTTAATGATTTGGTACTGAAAATGACACAAGATAGATAGTTAAAGACTGGGCAACATGATTTGATATTAACCAGGACCGACAGCTACTTACACATTTTGCGTTACCATATGGTAATAGTTAAACAATTTGGGACTAAAAGAGGAATAACCGTGCTTATGTTGAAAGATTCAATTATTGTTTTTAACCATATTAGGATTTAATCAAATTGAGAAAGAAGATGCACTTTTTATCTGCAAGCAAAGTGAAACTTTACCCGACCACCTATAACTTGGTTAAACTAAACACAAACAAACATGGTTTTGAATTCTTACCTTTTATTATCATTTAAATATATTTATTCAATCATATAAAAACAAAGAAGAAAAATATTGTTATATGAAAAGATATAGGAAATATGAGCATTGGTTCCTGACTGTGAGCATTGTTTACCTCAACTTTTATATATCATAATTCCGATCCATGTCACAGGTCAATTTTACTCACATCAATTCATGTGAGTTTTATGTTAATCTCATGGGAAACTTTAAAATAAATTAATTTGAATAGCATCAAAATTTTTAATTTAATACAAATCATGTAATACACATTTTTGTTTGTAAAGTTCACATGAAAGTCACATGAAAATCTGCATGTTCGTGTTATGTATAAGCTGGTTTGAGGTGAATCTCACGTGAAATTTTTCGCGTGAATTTCATGTGAAAATCACGTGAGCAAATGTTGCCTGTGGTGTTGTTATTTAATGTGTGTCTGGAATTAAGTACTACCGTTTATGTTTCTTTTTTTAATGTTCAAGTATTGAAACTATAAAGAACTATCTTTGAATTATTACGTTCTTGTTCAATTAAATGGGACTATGTTTCTAAAATATAGAAATAATAAACTAAAATGAAAAACCTTCCATGTTTGTTACAACTATTCAAAAGCCAATGTAAATGATGACTAAAATATCATAATCAATAACATAAATAAATATAAAAGTGTATTTTTTTTTGTGATCATCCGTTTAATAACTAAATTGTTTCCTCTATACTTCTTTTAAGTTAGCATCCATCAGTCACGTGCAGACCATGTCCTATAATCTTGAATAGGTGTAAATAGTCTGCCTACATCTATGTGTCTAGACAACGATTGGGCAACCGTTGAAAAAGACGCGAAATTTGCAATATATAAGCTGTAAGTAATCAATATTCACCTCAGCGATACAGGCACTGAAAATACCATTTCATAAGATAAACACATTTTCATTAGATTTGCATGTACAGATATAAAGATCAGTATATCATTCAGGCGCACATATAAATTTTGAATTGATACTGAGTGATGTAAGCATTGTAAAGATATAAATAGTTTTGTTCTAATATTCAAAGACGATTTTAAAACATTATGTAAATATTTTCTGAAGAACATGTGGCAGACAAAATGGAATAAGGACAAAAATAGAGAATTTTCTAAAATTTGCCAAAAAATTAATTAATGAGACGGAGTTCCTTCAGACACTTATCAAAAGCAAGAAGCCAGATCATTTAATTTCACGTTCAGATATATTGATGATGCTTTTTTTTCCATTAGCAATCCAAAC